CGATTCTAAAACAGTCACTTTCTGACAAATTTCGATTTTCTTGCTGGTGGTGGTTCATTTCAAAGAAAAAATACTTAATAAACTTGAAAAACCCCTTTAACGTTCAGCACAACGTAATCCAACCCAACTAAATTAGAAATAAAATGAAGTCCAATTACCATGTTTTTAATTTTTTTGCAAAAAATGGTAAACACATCAGCGTTTTTTACCGTTTTTTCGATACATTTTACAATATACCGGGGATAACAATAATATATTAGCACAAAAATCAGAACATTAAAATTATTTGATTTACCAGGGTTTTTAAAACTATGCGTTAATTTTGGGGGCAGTATATAATAATATATATATATATATATATATATATATATATATATATATATATATATATATACTATATACTTCATCTAATTTAGATAACGACTTACGTCATTATCTACGTCAGAGATCGAAGTGAAAGTAAAAAAAATCCTGACTCCATTTGAAATCAAATAGATTACATAATTATTGCAAAAGTATTACCGTCTCTTTACAACTACTATTTAAATTCTTACGTGACATTTTTGAAATAAAACACACTAATTTTGTTCTAAAAAGAACAGATTTTATTAGATAGTTAAAAATATAAAACAAGAGATATTCACTTTAAAATTCAAAATAATGAAGTACAAAAAGTGTCACCACCGCGACTGTCAAATAAGTGTTACCAATTTATGCCAAAATTTTAGCTTTGTTCGATTACAGTTACAGTGTGTTCCGAACAAATGTTCTTGATAAAAACGCTTTATAATGCATTTATACAAATTAAATGAAACATATTATTGTGTATTTCTTTAAGTTAACATTAATAGAAATTTTTAAATAATATTTCTACGCGTATATAATAAAATATGTCTAGTGGCTGTAATGCCAGTGTACTCGGTAAAGTGATTCTAAAAAAGAACACACCTACACCCTAAATATTTTGTGTTGGTATCATGTGACGTCACAGGCTATGACGCCGATGACGTGCATCCTTATATAAATTAGATGATGTGTATGTATATATATATATATATATATATATATATATATATATATATATATATATGTGTGTGTGTGTGTGTGTGTGTGTGTGTGTGTGTGTGTATCTGAAGTTTCATTATTAATGAAGCAAATTAAATTAAATTGTTAGAATTTTTTGTATTGCCAATAGAACAAAATATGTTCAATTTGTATTTTAAGAAAGGTGTACGAATTTGAAAACGGCCCTTTCAATGCGGAGTATCATAGTAGGACATTGCTCTGTGCGGCAATATTTTTTTTAAAATAAATTTTAAATGTTTTAGTTTACTGAGTTGTAATGTCTTATAGGAAGATAGTTCAACTAATTTTAACTTAATTTTTTGTAAAGCGCACCGGTGCGTCGTGATAAAAATAAAGATGTAAAAATATTAATTTTTATTTATAAGATACAAACTAGAAACATAATAGCGAAAAGTGTTACAACAGAATTAACAAAATTTTTAAGTCTAAATACAAATATTACAACAAAAATAACAATATTATTTTAAATTAGCAACATCCTGTGGCAAAAACTTATTAGTTATCGTGATATTTCTGGAAGCTATTTGCTATGCAGAGACAGGGCTGTTCTGGACATGATGTGCAGTGATATGAAGTATCTTTTCGTATATTATTTTTAGCACACATCCAACTTTTTTTTTCAGAATTCTGTTCTTATTATTTCGAACTATCATTTTTGTAGGTAAATGTTCCAAGTTTTGATGTACCTTTATTTGTTGCGGCTCATCTGGTAATAGTTTTTCTAAAGTTTCTAGATGAAACTGATACAGAGATCATTTTTTACCAGAATACTTATTGAAAACGCTGAGAGTTTTGCAAATATAATTGAAAAATATGGATGCCAATTTTCTTATACCATCTTAAAGTTTTACGTAGCATTGGATAATAAGCACACATCTGATCTCTGTGATCTATTCCCCCCATATGTCTGTTATACATAAGTACAGGCAAAGGTTTTTCTACTTCATTTCCTCTTCTATTTGTTGTAGGTTTCATTATATTCTCGAATTATGTTGAAAGATACACCACTTCCCTCTTATCTTTCCATTTACCTACTAAACCTTTTTTGAAGTACATACCTTTGGATTCTCCTATTTTTAAGTTTGACTTTGTGACTTCTGATGGATTACTGATCATAACCTTACGAATTGTTCCTGTACAGAAGGTATTTTGATTTAACAACTATTTGGATAAGGTAACACTATTATAATAATTATCCATGTATAGGGAATGCCCACTATCCAAAAAGTTCCTTATCAAGAACCGTACAACTTTCTCTGTATGATATTTACCACCTAGAGTATCGTTTGCACCGGCATATATAGTAAAATCCAACACAGTTCCACCTGTCTCTGTTAATATATATAATTTTACACCATATCTATTCTTTTTTTTTTTTTTGAAGATATTGTCTCAAAGCAAGTTTTCCTTTCCAAAATACCATTGATTCATCCAAAGACAAATGCTTCCCAGGATAATATAATGTCTGCAATTTCATGTTAAAATGGTTCATCAAAGGTCGTAATTTATACAGACGATCTGCAGGAGGTAGCTCAGTAACTGGTAAAAAATATCGTATCTACTCATAAACCTAGGAAAACAATTTGAAAATAGGCTATGCTTTAGTAGTTGCTTATACAAGTCAATTTTATGGTTCCTGTGTGTAAAGTTAATGCTATAAAAATAAGTAATTCCGATACAGTCTGCAGTTTCCATGCAGAAGTTCTTGAATGTTGTCCACTACTAGCAGAGAGTACTTCTAGGGCATAATTATTAGTCTGCAATACTATCATATTTAACAGTGAATCGTCCACTAACAACCTAAACCAGTCGTAAGGTTCTTGGCCAGGAGAATCTACTAGTAATGGATTTACTTTGCTAAAAGGAATTTAAGTCATACCTTCGCTAGTTTATGTCCATGTATCATGATTGGTCCTGGGATGTAACTCAGTATTTTCTTTAACAGTATTATTCTCAATGTTATTTTCCAAAGTATTTGCCACTTCCTCTTGGACATTGTCTTCAGTTTCACTTTCCGATGTTTCCCTCTTTGAGTAATCTTCAACAAAAGCTTAAAAAATAAATTTTGTCAAAATCACAAATTTCACAAGCTTATTTACTTACAATTGTCCAATTCATAATCGCTTTCAGTGTCTGAATTATACAAAAATTGCATCAGTTATCCTCCTCGTTACTTTTTTTGGATTTCTAAATTGAGTAGTTTTACGTTTTTTTTATCCCTGAGGGACCAGCTTCACATAATTCTGCCATTATAGTAAAAATAAAACAAATAAGTCACTCACTGACTAACATTTAAACAATAAACAGGTTATATTAGAAAACCCATTATTAGCTACTTATGTGAAACCCCAAAAAACGGATTTCATATACCAGCATTACATATATTTATGTAAGTGCGAAACATATTCAAAACACTTCTGATAACTGCGACATTTTTAAATAAGCATATAAAAGTATGTGTATCGAGAGTGCACCGGTAAGCCTTTCACATTTTATTAAAAATGAACAAACCGCACTGGTGCACTTTCCGCATTGAAAGGGTTAAGAATTTCTGTTCAGCAGGAAATCAAACTTCAAAGGTTGTCAATCCAAAGAAGTAAAATAATTGTTTGTGAAAAAAAAAATTGTTGTTTTTACTTTGTAAGTATATTATGTATATTACTGTATATTGCAAGGTTGCCGCACACATATCAATATTATGCATGACACTAAATATTATTTACAGTCCACGCAAAAACATACCAGCAGACAGAGGGATAAGAATTATTCACTTCAAAAACACCAACTGTAAATAAGTAAAATATTATCCCAGATTATTTATTTGATTTTTAGTGATCTAGAACTTAATTTTACAGACTGATATAATTCAATTGAACCAAATCATCAGAAAAAAAATATACCCAGGTTGAAAATTGTTTAAAACGCAGTGAATTGGGGTAAACAGTGAAAAAAATGTTATTATGTTGTAGACTGGATAGATTCATCATATGATATGAGTCAAAATTACTTAAAATAGTATTTTTGGGGAGAAAAAAAAATCTCAATGATTTTGTCGAGATACTTGCTCATAGTAAGGATGTATAATTGCAGAATTGAAAAAAGTCTAAAAATAAACAGATCAGCATATGTTGGGCATAATATATAAATGACACTCATTGATGCTAGACTCCTGATAAAAGAGACATGTGCGATTATTGCCACAAATCAGGCCACCACACAGAAAAGTCTAAAGAGGAAGAAAGGGGTGTATTTGAAAACATCCACAGAATGGACAGAGCAGACTGCATACATTCTAAGTAATTCTGGTCTCCAGTAGGTAGCATTCCAAAAACAAATTTACATAGTTTTGGAAGAGGTTGTGGACATTCCTCTTAACAAAAAAAAAACATTGATTCCCTTCGAGAATCAATTAACACTCTGTGATGTAGCTATTGAAGCTGTAGCTACTTTTGGAGAAGCAACATGATTTCAGAATGACATTGCTTCAATCCAATCGAAGTGTCGCTTCATATTATCCTTTGTGTCCTCTATTAAATAACATTCAGGTAATGACTTCAAAATGGCTTCAATCTGTGCAAAAAGACTAAAAATACTGTACATAAGTGTACAAATTAAGTATCCAACTGAAAAGCTCTGGATGGAAGTATTTTTAGAGTCTTGAAGTTGTAATAGGTAGAATATTCGAGGCATACAAAAAAAAATTTCACTTTATATGTTCACTATTCACTATCATTTATCACCAGCACAACTGTACAACTACTACAACAATGTACCTAACAAAAGTGTAAATATGTATACGGTATATGCAATTTTATAGGTATTGTAAAATATAAAAACCAATGTTAAAAATAATTTAGTTAGTTTCCTCCATTCATACATGCAAATTAAAATTGTTAAAATATCAAATCACTTACAGCTGCAAGTTTAAAAATTCTACGTTTTCTCCAAATTTCATCGGGTCCACGAGATCTTATAAAATTGATAGCGGTAGTAAACACCATTGTGCAATATTATACTTAAATCTATTTTCCTAGCCCCTTAAACATTTTTAAAATAGAATTTGAGGTTGAGTTTACCGAAAGTACAAGCTGATAAGCTGAATTTAGCCGCAAATAAATGCGCAAATGTCAACCATAAAACACGGTTCGTAGACTTACTACGGTTGCCTCTTCCGACTGGGGTGGGATGCTTGAGTTACGTCACAGGAGTACACAAGAATACCAAACCCATTTATTCGCGATTGAAACTGAATGTAGAGGGCAGGTCGATTGCAGTGTCATGGCCGATATAAATGGTATAAACAAAAACAAACATAACATTCGAATATTTACCATTGCTTTTCCATGTTTAGTTTGTTAATATTGTTCTGAAGCTATTTTCTTGTGGCATTGTAAATTAATTACTATTTATAACTGGGAATAAGCCACATTAAAGATAAAAATACATTTATTGACGTTTCAATTTCCAATTCGGAAATCGTTCTCAAAATACAAATAGTAAATTAAACAAATTTTGTTTTTTGTTACATAGTGAAAAAATTCTTCTGATAATTTAATTTTATCTGACTCATTTATATTGACAATTCAGACATACATTATGCATTTTAAAGTAGACGACTTTAAAATGATATTGCCAATATTGTTGAGTTGCGCTCCTGGGACGACTTTACTTATAAGATAGTTCATTCGATTACATGAAATCAACTTTAACTTGAGAATATCCGTCAGAAAAAATCATAGAATGTAATTCGTCTTTAAAAAGACAAACACATGACATGATGACAGTAAAATTCTCCTGTTAGTGATTCCATAGTAAATTATGAGGGAAAAACCAGGAAAAAAACCTCATAATACTATCCCGACATTGTAAGTATTTGTTCGTGAATTTAGTTTACCTTCAACAAACATCAAAATTCTGATTTTATGTTACGTTATTTAAAAAACATAAATGATGTATCCTCTATATGTTACTGACTTACTAATACTGGTATTTTCTTATTAATAACTTCCTCTTTCAATATTGGTAACCAGATCCTACTACATTCTGCCGAGGAATTTGCGACACAATTGGCCTCATTTAACATAATTAGAGCCGCTTCTTTGATTTTTCTTTTTTTACCATCCGTTTCTTTTAGGACTATATTTGAATTATTCCATTGAAACTCTATGTTCATTATCCCATGCGTGTTTACATATTTGAGATCTATCAAATTCTCTATTTTTAATATAAGATTGATGTTCACTTATTCTAACATTTAATGGCCTTGATGATTCACCTAAATAAAACTGATCGCATTCACAAGGTATTTTATAAATGCAATTCTTTGTCCTTTCTTGTTCATTGTTAGGTTTGGTTTTGGACAAAATAGATCTCAACGTGTTTGTTGTTTTGAATGTTGTTGAAATGTTGAATTTATTTCCTATCCTTTTAAGTTTTTCTGATAATCCTTTTATGTACGGTATTGTTATTTTCCTCATATTATTCCTTGTGTATGCTGTAGGATCCTATGCATATCTTCATATGTTTTAACAAGTTATCAGAGAGGATTAATTACACCTCATTACAGTAAGACTCCTCATTTTTATGGAGTACCGAAAATTCATAAAACGAATATACCACTTAGACCCATTTGTAGTACCATAAATTCTCCTTGTAGTGAACTATCAAAATTTTTATTAAATATTTTAAAACCTTATACAAATAAAAATGACACATTCATAAAAAATACACAACATTTTTTAAATAAATTATCAAATATTGAATTTAATTCAAATAATACTTTGGTAAGTTTTGACATAAATAGTTTATTTACGAATGTGCCATTAAATAAGACTTTAAGTATAGTCAAGACAAAATTAGAGAGTGATGATTCATTGGCAACTAGAACAAGACTAAACATATCGGCTATAATGGAGTTATTAACATTATGTACTGATAATACATATTTTCAACTAAATAATGAATTCTATAAACAAAATTTTGGTCTAGCAATGGGCTCTAGTTTATCTCCATTCTTAGCCGATATATTTATGGAAGATTTTGAAACAAATATCATTTCTAAACAAAATTTCAAACCCACAGTATGGTGGAGGTATGTAGATGATGTATTCTCAATATGGCCTCATGGATCAGAGTTGTTGGACACATTCCTAAACGATATAAACGATAAAGAAGAGACAATAACATTTACCATGGAAAAGGAATATAATAACACGCTACCTTTCCTGGATGTTTTGATCTCTAAGAACGATACTGGATATGAGACTCAGGTGTATAGAAAACCAACACACACCAATAGATATTTAAATTTCAAATCAAATCACAATATTAATGTAAAAAAGGGAATAATTAAATCCTTATACGATAGAGCCAAAATTACTTGTTCTAACGAAAATTCGTTCTTGGAGGAGAAACATTTGTTAACATCTGTTTTATTAAAAAATGATTATCCTTTATCGTTTATAAATAAGGAATTTTCAACAATCGATCGAATAGAACAGAACAACTTAGAACGAGATCCTACAGCATACACAAGGAATAATATGAGGAAAATAACAATACCGTACATAAAAGGATTATCAGAAAAACTTAAAAGGATAGGAAATAAATTCAACATTTCAACAACATTCAAAACAACAAACACGTTGAGATCTATTTTGTCCAAAACCAAACCTAACAATGAACAAGAAAGGACAAAGAATTGCATTTATAAAATACCTTGTGAATGCGATCAGTTTTATTTAGGTGAATCATCAAGGCCATTAAATGTTAGAATAAGTGAACATCAATCTTATATTAAAAATAGAGAATTTGATAGATCTCAAATATGTAAACACGCATGGGATAATGAACATAGAGTTCAATGGAATAATTCAAATATAGTCCTAAAAGAAACGGATGGTAAAAAAAGAAAAATCAAAGAAGCGGCTCTAATTATGTTAAATGAGGCCAATTGTGTCGCAAATTCCTCGGCAGAATGTAGTAGGATCTGGTTACCAATATTGAAAGAGGAAGTTATTAATAAGAAAATACCAGTATTAGTAAGTCAGTAACATATAGAGGATACATCATTTATGTTTTTTAAATAACGTAACATAAAATCAGAATTTTGATGTTTGTTGAAGGTAAACTAAATTCACGAACAAATACTTACAATGTCGGGATAGTATTATGAGGTTTTTTTCCTGGTTTTTCCCTCATAATTTACTATGGAATCACTAACAGGAGAATTTTACTGTCATCATGTCATGTGTTTGTCTTTTTAAAGACGAATTACATGCTATGATTTTTTCTGACGGATATTCTCAAGTTAAAGTTGATTTCATGTAATCGAATGAACTATCTTATAAGTAAAGTCGTCCCAGGAGCGCAACTCAACAATATTGGCAATATCATTTTAAAGTCGTCTACTTTAAAATGCATAATGTATGTCTGAATTGTCAATATAAATGAGTCAGATAAAATTAAATTATCAGAAGAATTTTTTCACTATGTAACAAAAAACAAAATTTGTTTAATTTACTATTTGTATTTTGAGAACGATTTCCGAATTGGAAATTGAAACGTCAATAAATGTATTTTTATCTTTAATGTGGCTTATTCCCAGTTATAAATAGTAATGTTTAGTTTGGTTTAAGACGAGTTATTTGTATCATTTAATAATGGAAATTAACCTTAATGATATCTTTGAGTATTGTGGTGATGGTGAACCAAGAGTCCATTGGTTGAAGGGGAAGCAGTTTTCAAGTGATGAATTCCTAAATTTTAACTTTAATGTTTCGAACTGGCTTGTGTATTGATGATGATGAATCCTATTTTGTGTATACCTGGGAACCCAGAATATAATATTCTGTGTAATGTTTGCCTTAACGTATATACGCATTATTATACCTTATGTTTTTAATATGTTAATTTTTATTTTATACTATTTTTTGACATATGTAAGTACTTTATTGTATATTAACATAAATAAATAACTTTAACTTGGCTTTATTGTAAAATAGTTCATTTGATTACATGAAATCAACCTACTTTATTTATAAAACATTTTTGTTTTGATACATCCATCCAATCACAGGGCTGAATGTTAAGATTCAAATTACGTCACAGGAGTACAATCCGGCTTAATGTTCATTGGTTAGGCGGAAGAGGCAACCGTAGTAAGTCTAGGAACCGTGCCATAAAATAAATAAGTCGGTGTGTCATGTGTCAAATTAACTAAATGTCAATAGTGTCAATATCAATAAACAAAATGGAAGTGTAATAAGTGTTGGGCAATCTTTTGGAATTTATTTGTTTAATTTTGTTAGTATGTTAATATAAATAAAACAGTTACAATGGATATACTCCCAGGTATTCTTTAGTTTATCAGTGAAGAAGTGCACGTTTTGATGTTTTTAGACTCCCCTACCTTAACTGTTGAATGTACTTACTTGTAGAATAGGAAATGGGTAATAATTTATTGTTTTATTAGTAGTAATGTATGTGTGCTATTTTATTTTTGGTCTGTTTTTATAAAGTATATCATGTCGTTGTTAAGGTATAGTTTAAAAATAAATAATTCATTTACAGAAGGGGTCCATGCCTCATTTAAGAAAGGCCCAGGCCTTTACGAATTTCTCATAGAAGCTGAACTTCAGCAATATTTTAACAGTTTCAAGTAAGTAAATCATGTACAATTTAATAAAAAAATTTCTATTTAAATATTCAAATTGAGTACAAATTTAAATAGACTTTAGATATAACTAACAAAAAAATAATACAATGTTTTGAGCTGAAGAATAGGGAATAAATTGTCATATCTTTCTGAACTGCTATTCTAGAGGACACATTATGTTTACAACTAATAATAATCCTAAATAAAAAAAAATTCTTTCACAAGGATGGATGTCACAGCAAAATAATGGATTTCATTTCTTTATTCTTCTGCATTACTTTTTAAAGGAATTTCAGAATGTATTTATATACTCCAAATAGAATATTCCCATGACTTTTGACCTGACCAGGTATCTGACAATTTTTTTGCAATCAATCCCAAACCTCTGTTTCTTGCAGTGAGTTCAGTGGACTAAGTAGTCTATCAGTAAAAAATGAAGCATTTTGAATGAATTTATAAAACTGTAAAAACCTAAGAATTCCTAATTTTCAATAGATGTTAATAACTATTGTGAAAATGACTATTGTAAAAAAACTTACAACTTTGATATTTTATGGAAAGTTGGGTCTTACAGTTAAAAATGTGGTTAAAACTTCAGGCTGATTCATCAGTTAGTTTTAATGTTTTGTAATATCATAAGTCACAAAAAATTAACAATGATTATACTATAATTGTCAAAAAACCAAGTTTAAACACAAGTTTCAAAGTTCCTCACGAATTTTTATGATTTAAATAGTAATAAAGAAATAAATTGTATTTAGTTCTACATGAAAACATATTTCAGAGAGGTTGTCTTTGGTGTAGTTTGTGAATCTATTAAAAAAGTAGGATGATTTTCACATTTGGTCCCATTGAAGATAGCTTCAAATGGGTTTGACAGAATGAAATATTGGTGTTTTACAGTGTTGAAATTTACATCACAAATGAAACATATGCAATTAAAAGCAATAAGATATTTAAAAGTAATATAACGATTACGAAAAAAGAAAAAGTAAATAGTTTAAAAGTTATTAACAGAAATAGTAAAATGTCAGTATAAATAATAAATTTAAAATGCATCTGTTGCAATCTGGCAGCTGGTGGTTTGAGGGTTCTGACTCTATTGCCAAATCTATCAGCTAACCTATCAAAGCTCAATTGCCAAAAAATTTTCTAATAATTTATTAGAACTAATATCAAACAAAACAAATATTACTTCATTAATATTTGATTATAAGGAATAAAATTGCAGAATCCGTAAAATAATATGATAAAAATGTACCTTTTAAAAGCTTTATCTCTTTGTATTTGAAGCATATAACATATACATTATAAGAACATGGCAACACTGCCAACGCAATATTTCCTTATTTGAGGCTATCTTCAATGGGACCAAATGTGAAAATCGTCCAAAAATTAGTCAGGTATGTATGTACTGTATATAGTATACTTTAAATATGGGTAAGTATATTGGAAAATTATTATGAATAATACTTCCGAGAGGGACAATTCCCTGTCTGTGAAAGATTCCTCAGATAGAGATGTCAGAGAATAACATAGACACAGGTAACAAATCATATAATTTAAAAATTATATTTAAAAATTCCATTATAGGACATCAATTAATTAAAAATAATAATTTAGTTTCTTATATTCCTAACTTCTTTAATCATAAAAAAGCTATTATTAGAGAAGTAGACACCTTTTGGATAAACAATACATATTAGAAAATATTGAAAGTGACAAAAAGGTTGTTGACATTAAAAGAATGAAATATAAAATTAATGATTCAGACAATGAGGTACAATTTATACCAAGACAAATGGTCATTTTAACATTTATAGCAAATAAACTAACAATTTGTTAATCCATGTCCATTTTCTTTGGGGTTTTTTCTTAAAGAATGTATTCTGCATATAGTTGCTTCTCCTCCAAGTAATTCATCAATGTGTCCACTATCATTTTATTTGCTATATCCATGGTGTCCTACTTTGTCTTCTTATTTATATAGTTGTTCTCCTATTTTGGCATTGAAGTCCCTAATTATTAGCTGTAATTTTGATTTCTTTTCTTCCATATCTGTTGTTATGTCTTCATAGAAATGTTCAATATCTTCATTGCTGTAGGTACTTGTTGGGAGCGTACACCTGTATGATTTTTAAGGACATTCTTTTTAATTTAAGCGTTGTGTATGCTAGTCTATCTGATATGCCCTTGGTGGATTGTATATATTTAACTACTTTTTTATTGATTATAAATCCTACTCCATTGTTGGTGTTTTCTTCATTACCTTTATAGTATAGCAAATTTCCTGATTTTAGCTGTATTTTTTGTTCTCCTTTTCTTCTTACTTCGGATATGCCGATAATATCCCACTGTATCTTCCTTCACAGTTCTTCCTCTAGTTCGTGGATTTTAGTGTCCTTTTTCATGGATCTGATGTTATTCGTTTCTACATTTATTTTTGTCGAATATTTGCCTCCCCCAGAAACCTTGAGGCGGCGAACCGGTTTAGGATGTAGGATTCTGAGTTAGTAACTCTACCCACCTGGGGTCCTATTCCGTTTGTTTCATAATTCGACATGTTTCCTGAAGAGGGTTTTTTAAAACAGCTCACTTGCTAGACGGGTTTGTAATTTCTATATCAGCCGCCCAGTCTGAGTCAGACACTGTTCGGAACGCTGTCAAGGAACATTGTTGCAAATAATAAATTCAAAATTTTAAATAACCTCCAAAATTTTCCAGAAATAAATGGTAATACCAGCCCTAACGACTATCCTAACACAAGTATTGAAAACTAGGTACCACATCGCTCTACCCAACAACCTTAAAAGCGAATGGCAATTGCTCCCTTTTCCGTAAATATATCCCTCCTATCAATTTAAAAATATAAATTCAAATCCTAGAACTCCTAATCCTCACAGGGAATCTTTTCAATCATGTAAAGAAAAATTAGAAATGCAAATCTTACAAAAACTTCCAGGTGCTACAGAGACACAAACATAATTAAGAACAATTTTAGATTACAATACATTACAATGATTCTGATAGTGATGACGATCATTTTATTATTAAATGATAAATATAATCCAATGGAATTGTAACTCAATTAATAAAAATAAAGTCAATCTCTTTAATTTTCTTAACGAATTAACAGCTAAGTTTGACATAATATTTCTAAATGGAACTTGGTTACCTCAAAATAGAACATTCAATCTACCAGGATTGAATATAATATGTGTGTAGATAGATTAAATGGATATGGAGGCATTGCTATATAAACAATCATTTGTTAATCCACAAAAATTTCCATTCTCAAATAGAAGTTTGTTCAGCGTATATCAATGACTGTAAAATATTCTTAGTTTATGTTTATAAACCTCCCAAAATACAGTTAAAATTACTGGACTATACTTTTTTCACAGCTGCAGGGTGATATTATTATATGTGGCGATTTTAATTGTCACACACTCGTTGGGGCTCCATGTTAGAGAGCATTCAAGGAAATCGATTGGTAGATGCCATCGACAATAATACTAACATGATTATTCTAAACTATGGATGATCTACCAAGATAGGCTGAACAAATGAAATACCTTCCACTATTGATCTCACTCTAGTTTCTTGTCAAGTCTTGGTAGCCTTTCAGAATGAAATCCTATTAACGTTATCCTTGGATCTAATCATTTTCCTATTCATATCACACTATCTCGAGAATACACTCCCGCTAATATCATACTTGCCAGATTCTTTTCCGAAATCTCATGGAATCACAATTTGATATAAATTATAATCATAATATCCTTTGAATTCAATAAATGACGCAGCCTCGAAGTCAATCAAATCTCAGTCAAATAGTTGTAAAAAAACACCAAATCCCATATAGTGGGATAATGAATGTACTATTATTATTATAAACAGAAAAAGGCCTATATGATATATAAAAACAACACAAACTTTGACAATTATATATATAAGTTAAACATATTCAAAAATTGAATTTTAAGTAAAAGCGGCAGCTATATTGGAAGAATTATCTTAATAAATTTAATAAAAATATCGCAATCTTAAAAATTTGGAGCTTCATAAAAAAATATCTAACAAAAATTCAACTTTCAGAAAACATGTTATCTCTGAATTACCTAGCTTTGTACCAAATATGCTTAAAGGATCTATATTCAATAAGGTAGTACCAATAATGGACGGGTAAGGAATTCTTAACACACTGCGGTCAAACATAAAGCAAGAATTTCAATTTGATATAATTTTGGCCAAATTTCAACCCTTTGCTAATATATAGTTGGTGTGATTTTTATTGCTACATGATTAAATTTTTTTTTATTAATTACTTATCAAGGTACCCTTCCCGTCATATAAAACTGGTATAGTATTTATAAAGTCAGTTGAAACACGCAAAAAACTGGTTACCAACAAACATTAAAAGAATAATATCATATTACCATACATGAGCGCATCATTTATTTTTATAATCAAATATAGATTAGTCAAGAACAGAAAAAGGACAATTTTAATTTACTTAAAGCTGTCGTAAAGTACATAAGTGTATAAAAAGTTTTTAACATGTCATATTAAGCAACAAAAATCATTTATAATTAAATGGCAATAGGCCATATTGACAGTATCATGATTTAATTATACTTCGTAAAATAATAAACATTTTAGCTGTAAAGCACTATCATGAATCAACAGCGTTTCTTATCTGTAGACCATCGCCGCCGGCTGGAAGCGAACCTCCAAGTAGCGTGTTAAATATTGGTGATTTTGAATAACATATCAATGTCCAAATTTATTTGATGGGATGTATCTTTTATTCTCTCTTTCTTCTATCTATTTCCTACGAAGTACGGGGATTGTTCAAATACGTTTAAAAGATTGACGCGTGTTATTTATACTTTAACTTGATTACCGGTAAATGTAATATTGAACTGCCTTATAAATCGAGTCGGAGAGAAATGTTTCAACTGACTTTATAAATACTATACACTTTTTTCCCTATGTAAACC